TAAATGATCTCCAAAGAGATTGTGAGTTCTTGATTGTGTTTCATATCTTGCACCTTTATTCAACTGGCAGTCAAGTCTCAGGATCAGAAACTGCATATGCTGTTTCTCTTACCACATCATGGAAAGAGATATAAACCAGGAGCCAAGGAACTTAGTTCTATGCAGTTATTACACCCACAAGTTTTGTCACTTTCAGCCAAGTCTTTAAACTGTGGTACCTGTCCTGCGTAACTTTTGAGGCTGCTTGAGAATTAAATTAGATCACAAACACACACACACACACCAAAAACCACTCTGAAAAGTACAGGGCACTACAGAAAACTAAAATACTATTACAGTATTATACTGTGTTTATTTAACCCTGGATCAATATAGGTATCAATTCAGAAAACTCACACCAGATTGGGGATTGGTGGGAGAATGGGGAGGATGTGATGGTCAAAGGGTACAAAGTCTCCATTAGACAGGAGTAACTTATGAAGAGCTATTGTACAATATGGTTTCTATAGTCAATAATAATGTATTGTAGACTTGAAAATTGTAGCCGGTCACAGTGGCTCATGCCTATAATCCCAATTCTTTAGGAGGCTGAGACAGGAGGATCCCTTGAGGCCAGGAGTTCAAGACCAGCCTGGGCAGCAAGTCCCCAAGCAAGTCTCCATCTCTACAAAGAAAAAAAATTAAAATTAGCTGGGCAGTCCCAGATACTCAGGAGGCTGAGGTAGGAGGATCACTTGAGCCCAGGAACTTGAGGCTGCAGTGAGCTATGACTGTGCCACTGCACTCCAGCCTGTGCTACAGTGAGACCCCATCTTTTAAAAAAAAAAAGAAGAAAGAAAGAAAGAAAGAAAATTGCTGTGAGATTTTAAATGTTTTCACCACCAAAAAAGCTAACTAGGTGAAGTGATAGATGTTAATTAGCCTTACTTAATTATTCCATAATGTACACATATATTAAAACATCATGTTTTATACCATAAATGTTTTGTCCATTAAAAAGTAATACTTTTTTTTTTTTTTTTTTTTTTTTGAGATGGAGTCTGGCTCTGTCGCCCAGGCTGGAGTGCAGTGGCCGGATCTCAGCTCACTGCAAGCTCCGCCTCCCGGGTTTACGCCATTCTCCTGCCTCAGCCTCCGGAGTAGCTGGGACTACAGGCGCCCGCCACCTCGCCCGGCTAGTTTTTTTTATATTTTTTAGTACAGACGGGGTTTCACCGTGTTAGCCAGGATGGTCTCGATCTCCTGACCTCGTGATCCGCCCGTCTCGGCCTCCCAAAGTGCTGGGATTACAGGCTTGAGCCACCGCGCCCGGCCACATTTTTTAAAATAAAAAAGAAGGTTTAAAAAAATTTATACCAGAAAGAACAGAAAGAGACAAAGATGATTCTTATATTGCCTTCTAGTAATCAGGAAACATCTATTATCTAAGAAGAACAATATCTATCCCAAGAGTTGGCATCTCTGATCCCTCCCCTCAAATCTAATCAGTTCCAAGTCTTTTCCACAACCCCTCACATCTGCCTCCTTCTTTCCTTTACCACTTCAAAATCCCAGTTTGGGCATTTATTACCTCACACCTGAGCTTCTAGAACAGCCTCTCACTGGCTCCACTCATGGCCTCTCTTTCTCAAAGTTCTCTGGCTCATATCTACTAGATCAATTTTCTTAAAATAGGCCTGGTGTGGTGGCTCATGCCTGTAATTCCAGCACTTTGGGAGGCGAAGGTGGGCAGATGGCTTGAGCCCAGGAGTTCGAGACCAGCCTGGGTAACATGGCGAAACCCCATCTCTACAAAAAACAAAACAAAAAAAAACAAAAATTAGCCAGGCGTGATGGTGCGTGCCTGTAGTCCCAGCTACTGGGGAAGCTGAGGTGGGAGGATCGCCTGAGCCCAAGAGGCGGAGGTTGCAGTGAGCCGAGATTGTGCTACTGCACTCTAGCCTGAATGGCAGAGTGAGACTCTGTCTAAAAAAAAAAAAACAAAAAAAACCTTAAAATACCACTGTGATCATATCTACTCAAAACCTCAGCAGACTCTTCATTACCTTCTCCATCAAGTTCAAACTCCAAACTCCCAAGCTCAGTAGTCCCTGTGCAATCCTAGCTGCCTCCTCACCTTTATCTCTTACTACTCTCCCAAACAAATCCTTCCTCAAACTGGTCTCTTTAATTCCTTCAGATATGCCCTGTACTCTTCTGCCTCTAAGTTTTGGCGTACACAATTTCTCTTCACTTGCAATACTCTCTTCTTCACAGCTTCTCTCTTGGCCTATAGAAATTCAATCCATCCTTCAAGAACTAGTTTGAGAGCCACCTACTAGGCATACTTTTTCATCACCAAGGAGGAAAAGATGGCAGATTCTAAAGTTAGACATGTCTGGGTTTGAATTATAACTCCAGTCACTTACTGGCTGAGTGACACTGCGTATATTCCTTAAAACTCTTTGCCTCAGCTTCTTCATCTTTAAGATGGGGATAAGAGCAACTTCCCTAAGGCATACTGTGTAAAGTAAATGAATTAATTCATGTAAAGCACTTAACATGATGCCTGGCATAGATGAGGACCCAAGAAATGTTAGATATTGTTATTACTCTTACTATTAACATTGCCATTAGTGAATTTATCTTAATCTGAATTCAGATAATACTTATGGCCATTACAAACCCTTCACGTACCTACAGTATCATTCCCCTCCTTCTTCTTTTCCCTCTTACCTCATGTTTCTTCTTCCTCCAATGCCGCAGCCCCCCAGATTGCAAGATCCTGATGAACGGTCAATTTTTTATACATCTTAGTATCTACAATGGTCACTCACACCTAGCATATTGTTTAATGCCTAATGAAACAACACTAAAGAGCTGGCAGTATTAAAATGCCCTGCATCCTATAGTGAAAAAGTATTAACAGCGTGCCCAAAGTAATTAATTAAAAAATGTAAATTTCCAGCCTCACAAAATTAAATCTCTTCTTTCATGGTTCTCTAGGTTCTTTTTGCTATTTTACAGCAAACGACCCAAACTATTCATGCAGCAAGAGATAGAACAGCAAAATATATGGAGGTCAGACAGCAGCCAAATGCTAGAGTACAAGGACCTCGAAACAACTCAGCTGAACACAATTCTGGATGAAATCCAAAAGGGAGACAATTTAAAGGGAAAGGAAGCCGGCTTATTAGTTATGCTAATAATGCTGATTGTTACACCAGCCTTAGGATTCCTTTGCATACAGGGTCAAGTATAAACAACTGAAATAACCAGGCTAGTACATATAGAAATATTAGTGATTCAGCTCAACAATGGAGCTTATTACGCGATCAATTTAATTACCTATGTCAAAAGTGACTATTAATATACCTCAAGATTCGAAAGTAACTCAAGTTTTGGCTAATGAAGTCATATCAAGTGTACACGGTCTTACTGTATACTAATCATTCACTTCAAGTAAATTAGTATGATGACAACTTGATATACATATATTATCATAGCATAAACTATTTTCAACAATGCCCAAGGAAAATAAATGTTACTATAGTACTGATTTCCAGTTTATTTGTATGACTTTAGTAACTTTCAATCAATTTATTCAAAATCAGGCCTAGTAACCACAAACCAAAGAGTTTCCTAGTGGAGTGAATTAAGAAGGTTTGATGGTATGTTAATGACTTTCCAAAAACTAGCATAAAGTACTACACATAAGAATAAACTATATTAAATTTTTATTCCTATGATACTTGTCTTCAGATGACCCTAAAATGTTTTACCAGCTTTGAAGTACAAGTATTCTCAAATCACAAAATCTTAGATTAGAAATAGAAGTCACCCACTGCAGGAATTCTTTATATCACCTCCCAGGCAAAATGTTCTCCAGCCTTTGCTTGAATATTTCCAGCAATGTGCACTCACTATTTTGCAAGGCAGTGCACTCCACTGTTACAAATTCTTCCTTACAATCACTGGAAATCTGCCTCCCTGAACCAAGAATCCCAGTTCTGCTCTCTGAAACAACCCAAGATATGTTAACCTTTGAAATAAAATTACTTATTGAATTAAGATATAGTTGTCAATTTGGTCACACAAAATGCAATTAAAGCTCAGAAAAGAAGAAACCACAACCATACACAACAAAACTTTGAAATTCAGGAAATTATACTGAAATGACAAGCCAGCAAATTTCAGGATATCAAAGCTCACACCTCAGTTAACATACAAATATTAAGAGTAACCTGACTGAGTTTTGTTACAATGGAGAGTGGTACAGTGTTTATTAAATACCTTTTTTTGCAACTTGATACTACTAAATCCACCAACAGTTTTTAAAATTACAGTTCTGCAAGTAGTTCAAGGTGGTTTTCCCAGTTGCTCACATTTTCATTCAGTCTATTTCTCTCTAAAACATCTGGGTGTTTGTTTTTTAAAGCCCATTCGCTCCACTGGTGCAATATATTGTTTTTAAAAATAAATATTTTCAAAAACGAAGCCTAAGAGAATGGAGTGTAAAAGAGTGGGGGTGGTGAGAGGAGAGAAGGCAAAGACGGGCCCAGCGGGGAAAGGCTGGTTACTGGGTATTCTCCTTCTGAGAGCATGCTTTATTGGCATAGGCATCTGAGGTAACGAGTCCTACAAACACGACCTTATAACGAGAATGATCATGAGCAATGAGTGTAAGGCATAAATATCTGTAAGATGGAAATAATTTGGCACTGATCACCAAGCAGCACCAGATGCTTCAGGACCTCATAAAGGAAAGGTTAAGAGGTCCACGAAATAGAGATCATTGCCACCCTTTGGGGTGGGGGGGCAGGAGGAAGAAACCAAGGAGTAACTACCGTTGGGCAGTTCAAAGCCTGAACAGTACAGAGCACAAGAAAGCCAGCAAGTGACTAGGGGAAGGCACACACCCTGGCGAGTCCGAAGAAGGGTGTGCAGTGTGCAAATACTGAACGGGTCTATGAAATGGTGTGGGTATGAGATGTGGGTGTGGGTAAGGGGCAACGCAGGAGGCTCACGGTCCCCTCCCTGCCGCAGAGCAACAGAGGGTAAAAGAAGGGGGAGGGTGAAAAGCAAGAATGACTCATTACCAAAAGGAAGTGCTCAAGCCATAGGGAGGCATGCCACAGGGGATTTCAGGGCGAGGACTGTGAGGAGCTAGGTGCTCAGGGTGATGGGGGCAAAAATCAACGTCTTGTAGTTCCTGCTGCTAGTCTTTAAGATGGGGGTGTGGGGGGTTCGCGGCAGCCGACTGCCAAGGCCTGGGAAGCGGCGCGGCGCGTGCGCAGTGGCGTTCGGCGGGACCCGCTGAGGCAAAGCGGAGCCGCAGTGACAGAAGCAAGCGGAGCGGCCGCCAGGAAGGACTCACCGAGGCGCAGGGGCTGGAGGTGGTGCTGGGGGTAGGTGACCGCTGGACCGTGACCAAAGCCATCTAGGCGCTGCTGGGTTGTTCCGGGCAGGGCATTCTTGTCCTGAGTGTGGGGGGCGGGAGGGTGACGGAGCCGGGATGGGGAAAGGGGTGCGGGGTGGGGATGAAGGGAACGGGGAGGAGGAGGAGGCCGCGGGAACGGCCGCAGACTCCGCACCCACCACCAGACTCTCGCCGACTGACGCGCCGAACGGGCGGCGGGCGGGCGGTTCGGCAGCTGCGGGGCACAATGAGCGCTCGCAGTGCGCAGGCGCCACCTGTCAGCTACCGCCTCTCCCCTCGGCGCGCGCCGCCGCCTGGTCGTAACCCTTGAGTTGCCGGAAGCCGGCCAAGTGCGTGCGCCTCGGGCCGCCGCACCCTCCTAGGTTGCCTCCTTTGCACTGGAATCGCGCGATTTGCCAGCGCTGGGTGCTGTGGAGTGGGGTGGGGGAAGGGGCCGAGGGGAGCCAGCCGGGTGAGGGGTCTCAGTCGAGTGAGGGGGCCGCTGGAGTCTTCACTCCTGAGAGACAACCATTTTATGAGGTGGGGCGGCGCACAGCTTAACCAACCTTAGAAAAAAGCAGCTGAGATGAAAATCCTGAAGCAAAGTGAGAAAGGGCTCCGCGGAGTTTCAGACCCTCTCACTGGGCGCAGACAGGACTGAGCTGGACCAGTTTACCCCCTTCGCCCCGGTTCTCGGGGGCTTTTTCTCAACTTTCCCACCCTTCCGTCCATGTTTTATGATGAGACTTCTGGAAAGAAAACCATTTTCCTTTTGATACCCTGGAAAGGTTTGTGGTACCCTCATGCTTCCTCTATTGCCTGTCTAAAGACTTATTCATTATTCCTGAGAAGAGAAGCTGAGCGCGCCTGGGAGTCCGTGGAAGCCTGGCTCGAAGAGTTGTGAGGGTCCAGCCTGCTATTGACCTCTCACTTGCCTCCTGCTGTGAAGACATTCTCTTAATTAAACAGGATTTGCTCGTTAAGCTTTCTTCTCCTTCGTCTCTAAATGTCATTATTTCATAGACCTATGTAAAAGTGAAGATTAAAAGATATTTTAAGGGAATGATTTTCTCAGAGGTAAACTCTTTGCAGAACATAAGCAAAGAATGTAATGGAAAATCAAGATTAAAAAGGAAAAAAAAATCGCACAATGCAAATATCACTGATTATTTACACAAAGAAAGAGAGTTGACAAGGCTGTTTCTCAGTTTGAGTGGATGAGCTGGTAAATACCACCGTACATATCAAAGCTGTAGGAAACACACACACTCGGGAGTTTGCAGTTATTAAAACCCACCCCCTCCTGTTTGTCACTCAAACACTCTTGGATCTCATTGCTCCTTTTAAACTGACAGGGCTGTCATGAGCTCTTTCTGGCTGCTGTACGGTTAAATGCCACAAGAGTCCTCTGTGCTGAGCGAGCCTTTGTTCTCTCCCTGGGGCCCTGTGGTTGAAATAATTAGCAGGGAGGTTCCATCAAGAATCAGACACTGAGGGTCCCTGTATTATACAGTCCTATACAGAGTGTAGTGCAGAGAAGCCAGCTGGTAGGCTTTTGCCCCCTGGTGGTGATCAGGAGTGCCTCTGAGGCAAAATTAAACAAAGATGTATGGTTCACAGATTAAACAATCTGACTGTGTTTTTCCCAGAGCTCCGTAGTAAACAGGAAAAGAGAAGGCAAGGTTCAGAAGTAAGAACTTTGAACCAATGCATGGGAGACCAAACAGGAAACTAAATACACAGCCAAGAAATACACATAGCTAGAAGCTGAATGAACTCAAATAAATGAAATATATGTGCTTTATGAACCAAAGTATCATTCTAGAAAAAGTAATACTCAAATCTGTAGGTCTTAGTACTTGTATGTTGATTCTCTGACTCAGGGACGGCAACAATGATGATCTACTTTTTCATGGTAACATACTCTTAAGAAATTCTCTTGGAAAACGTAGGACTTGAGTCCATTAACCTTGCAGTGAGAAAGCACTACCATTGGAATCAGAAGACCTGGTTTCTAGTTCCAGCTCTAAAACCTTATGCAAATGGCTTGAACTTTTTGAGCGTTAATTCCTTTATCTCTACAATGGAACCCTAACTGACAGGATTCTTGAGATAATGTATGGTAAAGTGCAGTATAAACTGTAAAGCCCTCTATGTAATTAAGATGACTTTTTTTTTTTTTTTTTTTTTTTTTTTTTTGAGACAGAGTCTCCCTTTGCCGCCCAGGCTGGAGTGCAGTGGTGCAATCTCGGCTCACTGCAACCTCCACCTCCTGGGTTCAAGAAATTCTGCTGCCTCGGCCTCCCGAGTAGCTGGGATTACAGGGGCCCGCCACCACACCTGGCTAGTTTTTGTATTGGCCAGGCTGGTCTCGAACACCTGTCCTTAAGTGATCTGCCCACCTCAGCCTCCCAAAGTGTTAGGATTACAGGCGTGAGCCACTGCGCCCGGCCTTTTTTTTTTTTTTTTTTTTTTTGACATGGAGTTTCGCTCTTGTTGTGCAGGCTGGAGTGCAATGGCATAATCTCAGCTCACTGCAACCTCCGCCACCCTGGTTCAAGCTGTTCTCCTGTCTCAGCCTCCTGAGTAGCTGGGATTATAGGCATGCACCACCACGCCCGGCTAATTTTATGTCTTTTTAGTAGAGACAGGGGTTTCACCATGTTGGTCAGGCTGTTCTTGAACTTCTGACCTCAGATGATCCGCCTGCCTTGGCCTCCCAAAATGCTGGGATTACAGGCGTGAGCCCCCGCGCCCGAGCATCATTCTTTTTCTTAATAGTAGAAGTAGATTAGTGGTCAAGACATGTTTCATCTGTGGGTAAGTGTGGAACATTTTTGTTCCACATACCTAAGGTGATAAAATCCTGATCAAGAATTATGAGATAACAAAATTCACATTGTATCAGGAAGTTCATTTATTAATTTTCAGGGGAAATATTTCTTCCTGGTATTACCTTTTAAAGAAACTAAGATTTGGAAATTATTGGTGCATGTTCATTAATTTATTTACTAATAATTGAGAAAATATTTTTTGAATGTGTATCGTATACTAGACACTGCTTTAAGAACAAGAAATGTTTATCTACCTCTTAGGGGCTCAAAGCCAATTAGTAGGGGAAAACACATCAACAAATAATTAGAGCGTAGTTTAGTGGTACCATGGCTTCTGTCACCTCTGCTAGGCACTAAAGGAGGTATGTAGAAATATAGGAGAAGATTATTTACATACAAAGTTCTATAGAAACAAAGCAGAGAAGGTCTGGGCAAATGTGGTCTTTATGATATTGGCTTTCAGGCTTTGTCTGCAGATCCCAGTACAGTCACTTTGTGAACAGAGCTGGACCACAGTAAGCATTTGATGAATCTAGGCTCTGTGCCCCATTTATACCTAATTTTCCTAGGCTCCACCCTGGTTCCTGCTAGGTCTTCTGGTGAACTGAGAGAGGAGGTATCTTCTAATAGAGTGAAGATCCTAGGATCCTCTTACTATTCTGGCTGAATTTGAGGAGAGAGAGGTCAAGAGCAGGATTCCCAAAAGAGGGAGCCAAAGATACAAAAGTCCTCCTAGTTCTATTTATAGCACTTTCACTCTTCCCACCTATGATGCTGGAGGCCTGGTTGTACCACTGGAGTCCATTTAACCCTTAACTTGTATCAATACTTCTTCTGGGGTGAAATTATAGGGGAGCTTGAAATCTCTGAGGTTAGCTGCTTCTTAAGCTTTGAGAACCTGATGAAAACTATTGACCTTCTCTCCAGAAAGATGTACTTGCATATTTCTCATACCTACTAAAACCTATCAAGGAACCCAGGTGAAGAATCCTGATCTAAATGTTAAAGGGGTGGTTCTTTACCTTTTTTTTCCACATCATGACATCCATAGAAATAATACTTGTACAGCACACAGGGATAAATTAAAGGGGATTTGGAGGCAACTAATTACATGGTACTTGGTGAAAAAAAATGGTTTTCTTTATATTACTTACTTTTAATGAGAAAATAAACATATTAAGGATGACACTAAATACTGAATTTGTATACGTTTCCAAATAAAGTTGTCTAAAAATTTAATGAAAAACCTGACATTGCTTCTCTAAACATAACTTTTTTTATACAGGATTTTATTATTGAAATGACTGCATGCAGTTCTTGAATGAGACAGTTTAACAGTGATCTCTTCAAATTCTTGGTGGTCATTATTGATGAGAACTTAGTTCATACAAGTAGGTGATAAAAAAAAAAACAAACTTTTTTTGTTTGTTTTTTTGAGACGGAGTCTCACTGTGTCGCCCAGGCTGCAGGCTGGAGTGCAGTGGCGCAATCTCCGCTCACTGCAAGCTCTGCCTCCCGGGTTCACACCATTCTCCTGCCTCAGCCTCCCGAGTAGCTGGGACTACAGGCGCCTGCCACCATGCCCGGCTAATTTTTTGTATTTTTAGTAGAGACAGGGTTTCACCGTGTTAGCCAGGATGGTCTCAATCTCCTGACCTCGTGATCTGCCTGCCTCGGCCTCCCAAAGTGCTGGGATTACAGGTGTGAGCCATGGTGCCCGGCCAAAAAAACTTTTAAACAATTTTCACAACAATTCAAAATTTACAAGTATAAATTATAATTGATAATATATCCACATTATCATAGGGTATTTCCTCATTACATTTGCCAGTGGGAATTTCCCCATCTACCCAAACACTTTTCATGTCAAGCATCTATTGCAAAATATTGATAACGGTCTAATTTGCAGAGTATGATTGTATTATTAGAGCAATAATTCTGCATCTAACTCGAACATAACTAAAAGGGCACATCAGATATAAACAAAAGGAAGAATTCGATATATATAAAAAGAGAGATTGTGAGCTGAGTTCATCAGGAGTACCTAGCAGGCCTCCCTGTCTTTCCTGGCCTTATCTGAGGCTGTAAGTCCTGCTCTTTTGGTACCTGGAACATCCTCCAAAGCTCAGTGTTTATGATAGGCAGCAATGTGTAC